TTAGATGAGAGCACGAGAGAGTACGTAAAAAAAGGAATGGAGGGAAAAATGAAAGAGAATGAGAATGGAGAGAAAGATAAAAGGTTTCTGATGATACTTTTAAAATCGGTTATCTAAGAACCGATTTTGTATACTACATACAAAATCGGTTCTTAAATAACCTATTTTAAAAGTAGCACTTTTAAAATCGGTTCTTAAATAACCGATCTTAAAAGTACTTTTAAGATAGGTTATTTTATGACCGATCTTAAAAGTTATGTCTGATACAACTTTTAAGATCGGTTCTTTTGTAACCGGTCTTAGAAGTTGTGTCAGACATACCTTTTAAAATCATAAAATAACCAATCTTAAAAGTACTTTTAAGATCGGTTAAAATTTAACCGATCTTAAAAATATTTATATTATTTACAAAATTGCCACCGCGTCACTTTTAAGATCGGTTACCTTTTAACCGATCTTAAAACTCTGATTTTAAATCCAATTTTTGTACTAGTGTGTGTTCGTAACATCTGACTAGTCCATACAATGGTGAAAACCGCTTTGGCTAACCAGAGATCTCAACAATTTTAGGTATGCACCCATTCTTTTCCACTAGTAATATATATTAGTAGCCTTGGTTATTGAAGAAAAAATGAGCCTTTACTATGATAAAATGGAAGTGTGAACTATGTTGTGTTGCATCCTTCGGCGAAACCAAATGTGTTAAAAATCCATTATAATTGTTGTACCTGAGATTACATGAATAGTTTGAGAAAGGAGTATGTTTTAACCTGGTCAAGGAGAGAAGAAGATATAATATGTGACAGAAGATATAATATGTGACCTGTGTGTTGATAAAGAGCCTATATGTATTAGGCCTCAATCGAATAATGATGTATTCATTTTTTTTCGTGATGAGAACTTAATAACAAAATTAAAATTAAGATGCCTATTGATAAAGTGTGAAGTTGGCGTGTCGTGAGCCTTGAATGTTGCTCCCACCTAATTAATTCCAAATAGTTAGGCATTTTGTGAGGCATTAGAGATTTTATGTTAACGACTAGTAGTAATACACACAACAAAAAAATTCTTCTATTTTTTCAAAATATCGACCCAAAAAGTGGCGTAGTTGGGTGTTTGTAAGTGGCATGGTTGGGAGAGGCATTCTTAGTCTAAGAGGCATTCTTAGTTTATTTCAATCATCATATAAGGAGTTCAAAAATAACTATTTCTGAATAAGATGCCCTGAACATAACCTTACCCTTCTCGATGGGTTCCCTCGTTATTGGTCTCAAAAACCAAAAAATCTACAAAAACCTGAAAATTAAAGACCTATTGGAATCTGACTGAGTAGATGTGGAGAAGATAGGGAAGCTAAACACGATATTCCACACTGGTAAATTGTTAGATTTAGAATTTACAACCAAAGAATTGGAGATTTACATAGGTAATGTTCAATGTCTAATGATATAAGGCTCATTTTATGTATGACATTGCTTATTAAAAATCATGGTTTTATGTGTGCAAAAAACATGGTGAGCATGTCTAATCACAAAATAATCAAAATTTGGAAACAACAGACCGCAACAACGAAAGCCTCAAGAGAAGCCTCCACCAATGAGGTTTTTAGCACTAAAGTGTCCCAAGCAACCAAAGACAAAGGGAGCATGGAACTATCAAAGAAACGTTAGTGGGAAGTCAAAAAGGAAAATAGTGTGATTAATACGGACATGCTTGACACCAATGGTCCTGTAAAATACCAAGCAATACTTGAAGATCAGGAGGTGGAGTACACCAAGCGAACCTTATCAGTTGGAACGAGGAATAATTGAGACCTTGTTGATTATGGAATTGAAGCAGGATAGGAAAAATCATTTTGGGATGCCAAGTTTAACCATTCATCACATATTTGAGCTATTGATATGCTTGAGGAGGATGCAGTCAATTTGGGAAAACTTAAAGTATTAGTGTGACAAAGGGAATTCAGTTTCTTACTGATTGTCTATCTGCAGTTTTCCATAATTAATGAAGAAAGGATTTGTGAGATGGCCTAAGAAATCAAGCATCAAGCCAAGGAGACTACCACACTTGAGGAAGAATAGAAGAAAAGTGTAGCGGATATGAAATGGGTGACCTTAGAAAAGGATAAACTACAAGAAAAACGTCGCATTGATGAGGAGGAAAAGAAAAAGCTCTTGGAATCTAAAATTTGGCTTCTGTTCAAAATAGAGACTCTTAAAATTGCTAAAGAGAAGTTGATTGAGGTGGCTCAAATGTTCAAAGGTGAAACATAATCGGTTAAAGCTAATTTGGAAAATTTTGAGTCTTATTCAATCTATGAAAGTTGACGCTGCCAATAAATTTGTGGATGGTTCAAGTGAGGATATTGCACGCAGGAATAGACTTAAGTAGCGTTGGTTACTTCAAAGAAATTATTTGGAGAGGATGACTAAGGGACTCGATCTCTTGCTTTCGATTTTTATATGTGTATTTCCTTTATGAACTATTTGGACATGTGTTGTTATGGTTGACATTTTGTTGAATAGTGAGAAACTTCTTCAAAAATGTATTTTGTTTTGATGAGCCACTAAAATTTCATGAGTTGCTAAATGAATTTAAATTATGTCTCAGTAATGGGATGGATCTAGATTTGAGGATCAATTTATGGCAAGAGTAAAATTTTGAAGCAATTGTGTTGGATCGAAAAATGAGATCATGGCATGCTAGAGTAAACAAGTGTGAAAAAATTTCGCATATTGTCTTAGTGAATACAATTTGGACCTTAACATGTGATCATGTTAACAGAGTAAATTGATGTTAGAATACATAAGAATGTGTATTTAGTGTAGATAATATATTTCTACCTTAAATATTTGAATGAAAATAAGATTTATCAATTGTGACTATATTCATGATTATTTGTCAAGTTTGTATGCACCATTATAGATAGAAAAAATCAATTACGTTTTACGAAATACATTGAAAGCTTCATGTTCGTGAGCTAAGAAGTACACTCATGTGTATCTATAATAGTTATCTATAATGACAAATCCATACTTTTGACCTCCCAAACTTAGAGTTTTGGTTGGACCAAATAGATCCACATGTAATAGTTTTAAAGGTCAAGAAGTGGAAACAATTTTTTTAGATTTTCCTTTTTGGCAAGCTTCATAGAGAAGATGAGTTTTCCAAAATTTTTTAGGCAATCTTCTTACTAAACCTTTCTTGTTTAGTTCTGAGACATGTTTCAAATTTAAGTGTCTACACTTTTTCTGCCAAAGTCATCTTTTATCTTCTCTAGAAAACAAACAAGTTACATTTTGTTTGCCTAAATCATCTAGATCAATCTCATAAAGGTTGTTCTTTTTATAGGTAGTAAAAAACATAGATCTCTCATTTTGTTTGACTATGCATGAGTCCTTGTCAAAATATACAATATATCCACTATCACAAAATTGACTCATGTTAAGTAGATTATACTTTAATCTCTCAACATATAATACATTATTCAGTAGGTATAGAGTTCTTACCAATCTTACATATACCTTTGATCTTTCTTTTACCACTTCCTCCAAATGAGATTATTCCTTCATGAGATTGAAGGTCTAGGAATATAAACCTTTTTCCCATTATGTGTCATGAACAACCATTGCCCAAGTACCAATGTGAATCCTTCATTTTTTTTCCACTAAGGATATCTACAATGAAAACTATTTGAGACCTTAGTAGCCAAATCTTTTTGGGTCCTTTTTTGTTAGTACCCTTGTAGATTTCTTTTCTCTGTTTTTGTTTGTTTTTGCATTTTCTAGGAGGATGATTACTTTTTTCATAGATATTGCAAATAATAGTCTTAGGTTTGGAGGATGATGTCTTGGACTCTATTGTATCAAACCCAAAATCACTTTTGTCAGATGTCAATGTTCTATGTTTTAGAAGCATATTCATTTTAGAAGATCTATATACAAACTTAGGAAGATCCTTCTTGAGTTGTATGTTTTCAGCTTGCAATGTTGTAATTACAAGTGGTTCATTGTTTATGATTTTGTGTTTGAGAGTTTGAATTTCTCTAGTAGCGTTTGATAAATTGTTCTTGAGTTTTTCATTTTCTATTTTCAATAATTTGCACTTTTCTTTGAAAATTTTATACTCTAGAGTGACCATGTGTGAGTTTGCCACAAAAGTTTCACATGACATCTTCTCTTCACCAGAACTTTCAGAAAAATAAAAATTAGAGTTAGATTCTACCTTCAATTTTGTTTCGTCTGCATCTGCCATAAGATAAATGTTAGTCTTCCCATCGATTGAACTACTACTGATGTCTAAATCTTCCTAGGTGATTATCAAACTCTTCTTAAACATTAAGAAATATTTGTTTCAATGATTTAATTATATTTCTGAAATGATATTCCTCGTAATAATGTTATTAAGAATATTAGTTTCATCAAAAATGTTTCATAAATGTTTATTATATAATGTTTCTAATTTTTTTAGTTCAGAAAATAAAATAAGAAAAAAGAGATATAATAAGATAAAAGTGGAAAATTGTGGAAAGTTATTTTTAGAAAATAGCTTTTATTCCCATATAACATTCCCATCCATTCTTATACATGAAAATAGAAACAGAACAAAATATATGTAATATAGATTCTTAAAAATAAATAATGTCTGAAAACATTTTTTATAACCTGTACCAAAGATAATATGCTATATTCCTTTCCACCCTCACATACTCAAAAAAAAAAAATTTATAATCCTTAAAAACAAACACACTCTTAAACACATCTTTCCGATTGGAACTTTGGTTTGTGATGTATTATGTCACCGAATAAAGTAGTTGTAGACTAGTCGTTAGAAAATGTAGAGATCTTAAAAAAGAAATGATTTTTGCATTTTACCAAAAGTAAAAATTGACTGGCCCACGTGGCATGTTACAAATAGAACATATCACATTCACACAGACGGTGCTATGTTGAGTCTGTTGACATGCTTGACTCGGTTCCTCACTTTTTTTTTTTTATCACGCATTTCTCTATTTTCTGTCATACCAAACTCAATTTTTACGCATACTCAAACCCTCTACACGCACTAGTCTCTCTCATAAGGGTTTAAAAGGCCTCTCCTTTCCCAAACTTTGTCTTTTTCTACTTCAAAATCTCTCCTCTCTGCCTTGACAAGCGCTAGTAGAAATTCGAGCCATTCCATCAAAATTAATGCATGTAAAGACTCAAGCTTTGATGCTGCATATCGGTTTTCCTTGTGCACATTCATGTGGGTCATTGTGTGTTTCTCTCAGTTTCAGCGAAGTCAGAAAAGGGTCTTTGTGAGTGTGACTTGAGGAGGGTTCTTCTTATGTTGTTTTCATCTTGGATCATGAGTTTGCTTCTGGGGTGGATTTCATACCTTGCTTGAAAGTAACAGCACCCCATTTGGCAAAAGTGAGGATTTTTGGCAATTACCTGGAAGTGGGGGTTTTGTTTTTGGAGGAGGCTAAAGGATGATTCAGTTGTTGTTCTTGGTGATTTTTGCTGAGGGTGCTATTGCATTTCTTTTGTTGGTGAAGATAGGGCCATTGAGAGATCTTGTGATAAAGAGCCTGGATCAGTTGAAGATGGGGAAGGGTCCAGCGACGGTGAAAACTATTGCTGGAACCATGTCTGTTATTCTCCTTTCGAGTCTCATGAACATTGTCAAGATCCAGAACAAAGGTGCTAAACTTGGTACCATGTCACCCATGGATCAAGTTTTGTGGAGAACTCACTTGCTCGAGGCTTCACTCATGGGTGCGTTCGTGTTCCTTTTATCTGAGTTATTTGCATCCTTGTTTATTGTTTTGATGGTTATTATGACTTTCCTTAGTTTTAAGGCTCCGAGTGTTGCATACAAGTGTTGATCTGCATTTTTTTGCTTGACCCTTCTTTAGTCTGGGCTTCTGTTGAAGATGGGTGCCTTTAGCTGTATGAAGTTTTTGAAATTGATTAGTGTTTGATGCATTTTTCTGCTTACCATTTCTGTCCGTTCTAAAGCTAAAATGATTATTGTTAATGCACATGCTAGTTCTTGAAAGCAAGATTTTAAATTATGGATGCGCTGTGGTGGTGGTGGTGGTTGTGTAGCAGCTGTTGTGTAGGCTGACGTGGTGATGCAGCGACCACATCAGGGGATGTGATCGGTTGGGGATTTAAAGCCTTTCTTGAAAGATAACGAAATAATGTAGTAGGGTGTGTTACAGGCTATGAAGCATGTACACATCTACATAACGCAATTGGACATCTTTTTGATACAGCTTGGACACAAGCTAAGACACTACTCTTAGCTAAAAGCTTATCTAACACTTTATTATAGAAAATTTAAAAAGTAAACTTAACTATAAATATTGCAAGCCTCATAACATTTTATTTGTTTATTTTATGTGAGGCTTATTTTCTTAGGAATTATTAGATGTTTTAATTTTTAGAAGATATGATTCATCTTCTAATGGCCATTGGTCCATTATGTCTTAAAGCTCCATCTCGCTTAGGAATCAAGGCTAAGGATAGTTTATAAATACTCTCTCTCCATAACCCACCAAAGAAACTTTTCAATGACAAAATCGTGATAGTCCAGTGAACCACAAAGTGGACAATACCTCGGAGACGGTAATCCTAACGATGCCATTGGAGTTATGGTCAGAACAATCATTATTATATAGTAATTGTGAAGCTTAACAATTTTGAAGGTTTCTTAATTTTCAATTTAGATTTTTGTCATGTTATATATATATATATATATATATATATACATACATGAGTGCCCTAGTGTCATATATTTTGGACCTTATTTTTGTCCTAGTGTCCATGTCCGTGTTGTGTCCAGTACTTGTGTTGGAGTCAGTGCTTCATAGGTTATATAGGTTTGTGGATTTCTTTCCATAGTTTTTCTCATGCACAATGAATAATAGGTATAGATAGCAGAACAGTCTTTGACATTTGGCTTTTGTGGTTGGTGGTATCTTTCTCTAAACCAATGTGTCAGATTCACAATAAATGGTTGAGTTTATTAATATCTTTGTATAACTGTTTGATTAAGGCCTCTGAAAATTATATAAGTTGTGGGCCCTGTTATTGAACTTCTTATAGAAAACATATCTATAATCTCTTCAATTTAAAAGGAATACTGTTCATTATTAAGTTGCTATTAGAAAATTGACACATAAAAAGTTCCTTTTGTCTCACTACTCAACGTAGTTCTGATTCTTAATCTTTCTGAACTTAACTAGTCATGTCATTCTGTGTTGTTAGAAAACCCCCTATTAGGAGATCCTATGTTATTTAAGCTACGAGAGACAGTTAGGACCTAAATGATTTAGTTAGAGCTTTGATTACAGGAGTAGGGAACTGTAATATGAGAATAAAAATGATGGGTAGAAGAGGATGGTCCTGGGATCTTGAATTCCCATTATAAGTGGAATAGTGTTCTCTGTGTTCTTCATTCCTCAATAAGGATTACCTTTTTTGTTCCTAAATTCTGATTATGCACATGCATTATACATGTATAGCTGTAATAGTTCATATGCGTGAATCTGCCGGCTTTTTGTGATCAACTTGGGATCCATTCTTTAACTCCTTTGTTTATTGATCTTTCATCCATGGTAACTTTTTGAGGCACATGAGATGAGTGCTGAATATTAATATCATAGAAATTCAGTAGATGAGAGCCCAATAATCTTCGGAGTAATGATGTTAGGGGCAAGTAGATTCTATGTAAATGGGTGTTCCTCAACAGAACCAATATTGGACTCTCACACTACTCCAGCAATCCTGTCAATTTGTAAACTGGGTGGATAAACTGGGTTTCGACACATTTGATGTAGAGAATTCCTTAAAGTTAGATTGTTAATAAATAAATTTCCCCCAAAGTAGCAATAGCAAGCACAATGTGGAAATGAATATAGCAGAATTTAGATCCTACTCAAGATTTGGAGGGGAATGAAAAATAGTAAATCATGTGATTGTAACACAGATGACAGTTCATAAGATCTTATCTAAAATACAAAATTATGTTTAAACAGATAGCTAATTCCTTAAAGGTAGATTGTTAATAGGAGAGCCTCTATATGAATTTCCATGTCTTAGACCCAGCTGATATTGGACCCACCCCCATATCAATTTAGACTTCCTAAAATGTGATAATCATGATCTCAATATATGTATATACTATAAATAACCTTAATCTTTCTGTTGCTATGTTTTAAGAGATAAATAAATTTGCTCCCAAGGAAGCAATAGTGGTGGAAGTGAATAAAGAAGAACTTATATCCTACTCAAGATTTTGTGGGGGTGAAAAATCGTAAATCATGTGATTGTAACACGGATGACAGATCATGAGATCTCACCCACCCTCCAATCAGAAGAAAAGTGGGAAGTGAGGCTCCAAGAGGAACAAAGAGGTGCCGATGAGCTGAATGGTGGTGGCTGGAGACCGGAGCATGAGATGCACTTGCCTGACTGGGTTAAAATAGCACTTGCAGGTGCGTGGTGCCCTCGAGACTTCTTGGGTTGGGCCTTGCTTGGAGAGATGTACTAGATCTAGATGTCATCGGTGACTGGGCCAGCGGTGGACAGAAGCGGATAGCGTTGTACCCTCAAGACTTCTTGGGTTGGGCCTTGCTTGGAGAGATGAACTAGATCTAGATGTCATCGGTGACTGGGCCAACGGTGGACGGCAGCGGATAGCGCTGGACAGCGACAAAATTGGTCAGAGAATTAGAGTTGGATCGGATCCATTCTGATACCAACTTAAGATTAGGAGTCTTGGAGAAACATTTCTTGAATGTTCTATGACTCAGTACAGAGTTATATATATATATATATATATTAAAAACATATAGGTAAAACAAGACAAATGGAGGAATTACAGTCTATATAACTATGACAGATAGCTACAAAAGAGAAAAATGATAAAAACAACCTTTTACAGGACAAATAATAATACAATATATATTAATCTAACAGAAGTAACAAATAAGGAAAATAACCTTAAAATCACTACTAAATATAAGTAAACATAAATTGAAAATGCATAAAACTCATAAGTCAGAACTTCACAATTCCAAATATAAAAACATAAGATTGGAAGAATTTAGTTGTAAATAAAAAGAACAAAAAGGAATATGTAAAAATTGTTGCAGCAGTAGCATGATGAACAGAGTAGACAATATGTTCTTGAAAGAGAAGACCAACAAGCTATCTGACCTAAAGCGATTGGTGAAAACACAAGAAACAAAACTAGAACCCCAACAATGACCAAAATGGAGTTCACCGCACTCTGGAATTCCAGAAAAAAGTAACAAAGGATTACAGAAATTAGTTTATGGAGATCAAGAAGTTTGAGGGAATCAAAGAAATTAAAAAGATGTTGCAGCTGTTGATGAAGAAAGAAGGCATCAGTCTTGAGTCTGAAAAAGAGCAGAAACAATCCATGCAAGCAGTTTGATGTTGCAGCTGGGTGCGCGGGTAACAGGGTCACAACAAGACAATGATTCAGTGGAACCCTTTGAGGTTTCTGCCAAAGGGAGAATCGAACCCCCTAATGGGGAGGAGCTACGTATTAAAGACATCAAGTGGGGGGAAGTTGAGGAGTTGGGTGTCAAAGAAAGAGACTCAATAATTTAAGGCTGAAAAGGTGGTAGAGGGCATCTGGATGGAAATGCCTGAGGATTTGCAGCAGAAAATCAGAGGAACAAGGTAAACAGGGCAAGAACAGCAAGAAGGGAGTGGGCTAGAATTTGCTAAAGTACAGGCTAGTTCTTGGACAAGTGGAGTTACCCACATTTGATGGAAGCAAAGAACAAAGAATTAACATGAAGGTTAGCAGTTTAAGGTGTAACTGTGACCCACCATTGCAATTCTTGAAGTCAGAAAACAGAAGCAGAGAAGATTTGGTAATGAAGAACAATACCGTATGTTGTGAGGAAGAAACCAAAAATGACGCAAAATTAGCAAGACAAACAAAGATTGAAATAGTTATTGTTGAGGAAAAAGTTGATTGTCATTGAAAGTTCAACAACATAGGAATCTTGGAATTCAAACTTGCTAGGTGAGCCTTTATCATTAAACCTTGTTGTGTCCATGGTAGAAGGAATGTATAGCGAAAGTCAGGGTGTTTCTAGTTATACAAAGTGCACCCTCAATCCTATCACCACCAAAACCTCCAAACTCGAGTTCATTTGCAATGGTCAATGGGTTCACAATTGTGCTCCCATGGATGGAAACCAAAGAGGTATGTCTCGTTAGAGCAAATAATTTTGAATTGAAGAATGAGGAGGAAGGGGTAGGTTGGGGGTTCTACATGGTTCAAGCGCAAATGATTTGTAGAAATTAGATTCATGAAGAAGGAGCAGAAAATTGGAGACTATGCATGCTCCTTGTGTCAAATTTCAGGAAAGCCTGATTTAGATCATGGGATCATGATGATGGAGATGAGCCATGGGATCCAGCTTCCACAATTTCAACCTTGAGGACAATTATGATTTTTAGTAGGGGTGGTATTGTTAGGACTATGGGAAAAGGGGAGTTAGTTAAGAAAGTTAGGATATTAGTTAGTTAGAGGAGTTTATTAAATATAAATAGGGAAGGATTGTAGGATGGAGGGAGAGGAGTTGTCTTCTGTAAATTGAGCATTAGCTCTTTTTGAAAGGATAAATCCTTTGTGAAGGGAAACCCCTTGGAGGGGAGTTGCCTCTCCTATTCTTTGTTCCTTTGCAATCAAGAAATACAATCTTTCTTTTCTTTCTTCTATTTTTCTAATTTTGGTTCCCTAACAGAATTTGAAACAAATAATGGTATTATTAATCACATACTTGACGATAACCATGTTGGATAGATCGATGCAGGTTAAAACATATTTAGGATGACCATCAGTGATTTTTTCTGTCGGAGTTAGTGTTATACTTCATCTTAAAATCTGGGTAAATTATATACTTCATCTTAGGTAGGTTTTCCTCCATTGATTTTTGGAACTAAGGTTCTACATTTGTTGAATTTAAAGTAGGATAAGTATTGGCAGTATCTGCATCTTCTCTTGTGATGTTTTATTTACTTATTTTTTGGTAGAAATGTGGTGTTTTAGTTTGCCAATTTCCATGTTATCACATGTTTTATTCAGCAAGTTTATTGAAGTGCATAATAAGCTTGATGCCTATCCATTCTTGTCTTTTTTCCTCTAGACCTTGTTCATTTTGATGATGTGAGAACACTAGACACCAATTTTCTTGTACGTTTCTTAGGGCATGTTTAGTTTAAGGAAATGCTTTTGTTTTCATTAATAATTACAAAAATCGTAACAGGAAATAAAGTGACATGTTTTATAGTTTGTGAAAACAGAAAATGAAACAAAAACATTTCCTAACACCAAGCAGACCCTTAGAATTAGCATACATCTCAACCTATATTATCTCTTAATGAATTAATTTGGTCTTGCAGGTTTTACTTTATTCCTTGGATTCCTAATTGATCGTATACACCATTATCTTCAAAAACTTATCAATTTAAGGAGTAACGCGGGAGCTTCAAAAGAAGAATTGGAAAACCTTAAAAAAGAAACTGTCCAACTTAAAGAAAAGGAAGAGAAAGCATCCAAGGAGACGAAGCAGCTGAAGGAAGAACTTTTGCTTCTGTCAGAAAGTTTGAAAAAGATAAAATTGGAATCTGAAGAGAAGGATAAGAAAGTTGAGACCGCCGAAGCACATGTTGCTTCCCTCCAAAAGCAAGCTGCAGATCTACTACTTGAATATGACAGACTCTTGGAAGAGAACCAAAACCTTCAGGCTCAAACAATGGGACATAAAAGTTGAGGAATGAATGAGGCATTGATAAACAAAGTTTTGGGGTGGTGAGATTTCATCAGGATCATCCTTGATTTTGTTGCCAAACCTATATTTTGGGGGGAAAAAAGATACTTTTTGGTCCTTTTTGAAAATGCAACATGGACCAAAACAGCTCTTTGCTTAAGTTTACAAGTTTTACAGATTTTTCCAGTTTGTTAACGATTTTGTTGTTAGATTGTTGCTTAACAAATGCTCCATCTAGATTTTGCTTTACCCTTTTCTTTAATTGTTTGGATAGATATGTTTTAGTTTAAGGATTATTGGTGGAACTAATTCTCAAGAATTAGGAAAGGGTTTGTTGAATTTTCAATTTATGATTGTGCTCGGTGATTCTCCCTTTGCTTGCCCAGTAATCGATTTTTATGACTTTTTATCTTTATATCAATTATTTTTCTTATATTCTCTCTAACTAACTCGTTAACTCGTTATTTATGTGTTTTTATTAGTTTACTCTTTCTCAAATAAATCAATTTTTTTCTTATCATAATTAAAAGTCACAGGTTTAGAATTATATAGAATGTCATTGGAATATGTAATTAAATGTGTATGAAACACGCAGAATATTTTTGAAGGTAAACGTACAAATGTATATTTTATTTTTGAACAAGGAATTCTCATGAGCAATTAACAATACAAATATGAATCATTTTTATGAATTGTCTTCATAAAACAATTTACGTGGTGAATACTTGTTATGAATTGTTCTTACTATGGACAAACAACGAAACCATCTTATTTTTGTTTTTTGGTTACAAAATGAAATAGTTTAATCTTGCTTTATAACTTTCTTATGTTAGCTAAATATGGATTATGAACATGTCCCCAATTAACGTTGAGGTTTCTGCCCGCCTTCGTCTTGTGCCTGTTGCTCATAATTTCAAACACTTAACAATTTAACTTGCATTTATTAGAGCTATATCTCCATCTCATTTCACTTGGAGCATTCTCTATTTGTATTTTGTGCATAAGTATCTAAGATGCATATAAGTTCACTGCTAAATTGAGAATAAACTTACAGTTACATGTATATTCCAATCTTCTAATTCATGGTTGTGAAATTGGCAGGGCCAAGTATTTTATTGTCAAACAAGTAGTAGAACTGAGGCAAATCTCATATTTAACATTGTTGCCTTGTTTCCTTGAAATGTATGCCATGACAATTTGATCTGAGAATTTCTACAATGAGAGGAAAAAATAAAAAAGAAAGGTGGGTTGAGGTGTACTGGTACAAGAACATGAACATTATCACTAAATAACTATAAACACGAATACACGTATGCTTGAGACCATTTCCTAAATAAAACCTGATACATGTCAACACTATACTTTAGCTGTGTCATGAGACAGCTCCATTTCCTGTCAGATCATTCTTGTTTGTTTCCATCCAAGAGTGATATATTTGACCATACATTATTTACTTGTAAAACAACTTAATTCAAAATTAGAGCCAAAACAACAGGTAAGAAAATAAAACTGTAGTGCTTATGAAGAATTAGATAGATGAGAATCAAGACTAGATATTTAAGATATTAGTTCTAACAGGAAAATATTGTTCGTGGGAATATTGAAAAAAAGAATGACAGGACAACTTATATCAAAACCTGGTGTATAGAGTTTGACTTCGCTATCAGATTGGTCGCCATGAAATTGTTGGTATTTCAAAAATACAATTAATAGTTATATACTCGATCGAATTTATGCAAGAATTATTGTAGTGTGCAATTTTCATTATTAGCTGAGAAATGTCTGATAAGCAATGTTGTGGTGCTTACATTTGTAGATATACCTTTGCCTTTCATTAGTACATGGTATTTTGTTGGTCTTGATATATCATTTATCCCCAACAATCCTTGGACAAGCACATTATAAGTACACTGATTTGGGGGACAATGTTAAACTTATGAGATTTTTTATTTATTTGAATTTTGAATAAATATTAGATAGGATATTTATTATTGTAACAATTTTATCTTTTTATATTTTGTTTTGATGAGAATAATTAGGGATTTAAGTTGATTGTAAGTTTACATATAAGCATTCTCTTTTATGAATTTTTGTTGACAATTTTTTATCTTCAATTTTAATTTAAATTTGTCTGCAAGATCCAAATTTTTATATATTTTTCATAAAATATTTTCAATAGTGTTATCAAGAGCTTGCTTCCTATTGGCTATGAGAAAAATTTGTTGAGCATTAAATACGGTGAAGTTGAGTGCAAATTCTAAATTGAATGATTTTTCGTTTAAGAAATTGTGGTGCAAATATGTCTACTTTCACTAATTCACATGCAATGCCAATGTTTAATGGTGAAAATTATTATATTTGGGTTGTAAAGATGAAATTTGTTTTAAGGTCTCAACGTTTATGAAATGTTGTAATCTTTGAAGTTGATTCATTGCCATTAATTAAGAGAAAAATCCTACCTATTGCTCAGATCAAAGCTTATGAGGAGGAGAAGCTAAAGAAAGTTAAAGTCATCACTTGCTTGCATGGATAACTTGCAAATCATATTGTTACTAAATTCATGAACTTGGAAACACCTAAACAGGTGTGAGACTAGATCAAAGATGAATTTGAAGACAGTAGTAAAGTCAAATCTGTTAGGCTTCTCACATTGAAGAGAAAATTTGAATTGATGAAGATGAAGGATAATGAATGTCAAAGATTATTCTAGCAGGTTAATGGATGTTGTGAACCAAATGCGACTTCTTAGCGAAATCATTCACAAATTAGAAGGTTGTTGAAAAAATCATGGTTTCACTACCTGAAAGATTTAAAGCCAAAATTTATGCAATTGAAGAGTCTTGTGATTTGCAAACTCTCACAATTATTGAATTGACCAGCAAACTTCATGCATAAGAGAAAAAGATCCTTAATGAGGAATGATAAAGTTATTGAAGGTGCCTTTCGAGTAAAGAAAAATGGAAGGAATTTTGGAAAGTCACAGTCTTTTAGTAACAACAAAGGGAAAAAGGAAGTTCTTCAAGTAAAGGAAATTTTTTTCCTAGTTCACATTTCCAAAGAACCAACTATGCTAAAAAAGATTGTTGATTAAAGAAAAATCTACTCGAGCATCAACCAGAAAAATAGGCAAAGTGATTGAAGAAAAAAAATGATGTTGAAGAATAGTATTTATTTATGGCATCTCAAGAATTCATTAACATGAATTGAATATTTGGTTCATTAGTAGCGCTACACCAGTCACATGACCAAATATCTATTATTTTTAACCTCAATCGACAAATCAATTGAACTGAAAGTCAAGATGGGAAGTTGTGAAATTGTGCAAGACAAAAGGAAATGAACAATTTCTATATAAAAAATAAAGGTAAGACCAATGAAGATTGGTGCATCTATCATTTATGAAGTTGCTAATGAAGTTGCTACTAAAGTCCTTTTAGCCTCCCCTCAAGTCCAAAATGTTTCACCAGCACCATCTACACCAACCATTAAATCTATTGTTCCATCTATGGAACAATTTGCTGATAGTGCAAGTATTGGAGCGGTCTTATAGATAATCGAAGAGACTACTAGCATATTAGCTAGAACAACCAATGAAGTTGCACCACCCTTTGTTGACTTTAGTGCAATTGAGGTTGAACCATTGAACATGGCCACATCACCAGTGGAACCAGACACTAGACTTCTTGAAGATTATGCATAGACAATTCCACCTAGTGAGGCTCACGAAGCATTGAGCTTTACTTTAAATGATCTAGACCAGTTAGTGGAACGTAGAGGATGACCCCAAATTTGTCCTTGTCAACGATCCTCCTCAAAGATTAACTTACTACAACTTGGAGTACTTGAATCTTTGACACAAAAATGGGCAGAAGGTTGCTTTTTATCCTTGCATTGAGGAAGTGTTGGAGGTGAAGCCCCTTGACCTATATGGCCAACATTTTTTGGATGACTAAACCATGGAGCTTATTAGACAACTATGATTTGAGCATGAAGACGCATGTCACACAAGGGTCTCCATCAAGCTCAGTTACTCAATTTTTTTTAATGAGTTAAGACTGAAGATTGTGTAGCATTCCATCTGCAAAGGGAAATAATGAGCCTCCAAATGCATCAAGGACATTGGGTACTTTTGTTTTGCTAGAGCTCATTAGTCTGAAGCCTCTAGAGTAAACAAAGATTACCCTATATTCACCATGGGATGTAGCATTCTACAATCACCATTCCCTCTTTCAACCAAGCCTTCTACACTACAAGAAAAATGTCAATTTTCGACGGAAATTTCTGACGGAAATAAGTAAATTTCCGACGGAATTTGGTATTTCCGACAGATTTAAATCCGTCGGAAAAAGTGTCGTCAGAAAAAAAAAATCCATCGAAAATTTAAATTTTCGTCGGAAATTTTCGACGAAAACTTCTGTCGGAAAATTCTGTCGGAAATTTCCGATAGAAATATCTGTCAGAAATTTCTGACAGAAATTCCGTCGGAAATGTCTCCCAGAATTTTTTGACGAAATTTTTGTCGGAAATTTTTTAGGGACATTTCTGACGGAAATTTCTGTCGAAAAATTCTGGGAGACATTTCTGACGAAATTTCCGTCGAAAATTTTTGGGGTAAATTTCTGACGGAATTTCTGTCAGAAATTTTTTGGGGACATTTGCGACGGAAATTTCCGTCGGAAATTTTTGGGATACATTTAATTATACAGTTTTTTTAATATAACTAATTATTTTAACCTGTTTATCATAAATTATAGAAACTTCATCAAAATAAATTTAAAAGATAATAGTAATGTTTATATCATAATAATAAAACAATTCATAATTCAAACATCATATATAGTTAATTAAAATAGAGTAATTAATATTTTTTCTAATGCTAACTAATAATCTTCATAATTAGGAGAGTCTTGTTGATTTTTGTCTTGGTCATCTTCTTCTTGTTGGTTTTGATGTTGTTCCCCATTTTGTTGATCTAAGTTGGTATTTTGTTGTTGACAAATATTTTGAATGGTAGTTTGTGCTTCAGTGGGTAAGAATTGCATGACAACTGATTGAATCTGTTGCAACTGACGAATAAGCACATCATTTTCTGCAAGTCGTTGTTTCAATTGACCAATTTCTTCCTTGTCACGTGAACTGCTACAAGATGCTTTCCTTTTAAGATTGACGTCGACGCGACTGCTTTGTGTATCTTTTAAATGACGAGCAAGGTCTCCAGCTCCATACAGTCGCCCCTTAGTGGTCATGCCACCAACTGCATCAGACCAACACTTAGACCTAATTGTATCCTCCAAACCAGGGTCCATAGGATGTGATTCATCAACAGATGATGCAGCCTCGGACATAGCTTGAGAAAATTTATTGACAAAATCTTCCTGTAATTCAACAAAGGCATTGTTTTACTAATCTTGTAAATATGATTAAAAATAACATCAATAATTATTTAAATAACTTACATATGTTTTGTTGGATCTTTCATCAACAAACTGTCCAGTATCTTTTCGTATATGGGTCTGTTGAAAGACCTCATCAATATGCACTGAACGACCAAATTCTTTTGCCTGCAAATAATACATTGATGCGAAATAAATTAATTTGTTGTAAAGTTGTAAAAATAGAAAAGAAATTTTTAATCCATACATACCATGCGCTTGGCATGATCATGAACTGTAATTGAGCCACCTGTATGAAGAGTCCCACCCTTTTCAGACAGTCGATTTAGAGAGGCTTGTGTAGACTTTACTCGAAAAGCAGCTGAATTCCAATGGGCTACCAATTGTTCCACACATCTTCTCCAACCCAAAGTGGCCTTTTACCTGCTTTCCGAGCTTCATTAAACATATCAGACAATCTGTGAGAAGCTTTTAAGTGAAAAATTTTCTTTACTTTTTCCTCATCCTCGGGTCTCCATGCCACCTTACGCTACATGAAGAAAAAATCAATGAATTATAATAATTATAACACAAAAATGTCAAAGGAAATCAAATTCAAATCTTTTTCAACAATTAATAGAAATGATATCATGCAGGTGAAGCCACAAACAAATATAACATGAGGATACAAATAAATAAATTAAACCAAACCAAAAGCAATAACACAAGCATTTCAACTCAGCCTTTTTTTTTTACAACTCATGTTAAAAGCAAATGCTTGTATCGAAACTACAATAACAAGTAAGTTCAAGTGTTTGTGAACATGTAAATTAAGCATCAAAGTTCCAAGTAAATAAATGAGATGAACAATATATGACTCAAAAATTGGTACAATTTAGATGAACATATCATTGTTCACAAACAAGAATTAAACAAGCAATTCATACCTTAAACCGTTGGAAGAAGACATCCTTATCACTATCTTCCATCGCTCCCCATGTAGGCCATGGATGTAGAAAATGTTGCTTAATGGTCTGTGTGATAGCATACGTTGTAGTTCAAATCTGTCGATTCCCCCCTTGCGCGTGCAAAAATGGGATTCGAAAATATTTTTATTTTGATTACATTAAATTATTTTAATTAATTAAGGGAAATCTTATCCGAAAATGACCGTTTTTCATGTTTTAGATTCAAATTTGATTCGGTCATTAAAAATCGTATCTTACGTTACAAGATCTTTTATTTTATTCTCTAAACAGTCATATTCGAATTAATTTTATCCCTTAATTATTGAATGGTTTACGTGGTTTTTAGGGTTTCTGAAACTCTATAAATAGAGGCTTCCGGGACATTGTTTAATCATCCCAAAAAACCTTTCTCTCTTCCTTCTCTGAGTTATTCTCATCCTTTCACTTGCTAGTTCTGTTCCTCAGATCCTTAACACGACCTTGTGGGGGGCTTGCGTGTATCCCGCAGATAAATCCTTAAGATCAGTGTCATCACACGTCTCAAGGAGATTTTACTAACGTATTTGTTCAGTGTTTCAGGTTACTCATTAGTGCGTCTGCCATATTTTCAACAACACATGGTATTCAATTTTGTACATAATTGTGTGGTTTTACTATTACTTTTATGTACATGTTTATATTATTATCCGGTTTAATATTTTCTCTTAGTTAACTAGTATAGTTAGCGCGATTCCATTAAACGTAGAAATCACAGTGAGTCGTTACACTATTTAAAAGATTTGAAGCTAAAATTAATTAAGATTGTGTTAATTTTATTTTTTTATTCAAAAATTTGTTATTTATGTTATTTTTATTAATTATATTATTTTTAATCTTTAAAATCTTAAAAATTTATATGATATAAATTCATTAAAATACATATTACAAAATTTTAATTATAAAAGTTTCTTAAAAAAATTTAAAAGTCATTATATTTTTATAAATTTTTTAAAAAATTATTACATTAAAGTCTTCAAAGTCTACAATTTTTTTTATGTTAAAATAATTATAAATTTTCAATCTAATATAATATGTATTCATATTATCAAAATATCCAATGATGAAGAAACAAATCATTTATATTATACTAAATACCCTAACTAAAAACTACGGAAAAAGACAATAGCAGAAAAATACATATACTAATACATAAAGAACCAATCTATTTTAAATAATTATCTTAATTTTCATTTTTGATTAATTATTATACTCTTTTATTGATAATAAAAAATTAAAAAAATATTTTTATCTAATTCAAAATTTAAAGACGTGAGAATCAGTTCCAACACTTATTAAACTAATAAATATTAATTAATTAACTAATTTTATTATTTAATAGAAATAGGGTGTCTCTACCCATTAATTTTATCAACACATGATAAAGAATTAGCATAAATAATTATCATTCAAAATTTATTTAATTTAAATAAAAATAGATTATATAATACGTATACGTGGATATGAAAAAGGAAGGCCATCACGTCGACATTAATCAACAGCTACTAACTAATTAGACACAATTTCATCATTGTTTCTGAGAAAGAAAAATATACATATCTTGCTATGAACGACATAAAAAAAAATCATCTATAAGAATTTTTATCAGTCGCATGGTGTAGTCCGTTCTGAGTATAGTTTGACGACTCTCTAGAGTTCTATTTTTAGAGAGGTATTAAATTTGTTTAATTTTTTTAAAAATATAAAAATAAAATTTATATGATTAAATTATATTAAAAAATATTATTATAAAAAATAAATTAATCAAAAATAATAATAAATTAATGTGATATTTTTTATTTTTCAATAAAAACCTACTTATTTTTAAAAAATAAATTGGTGATTTTAAATATAAAAAAAAAGTGTGATATATAATATAATATATTAGTGACTTGTTTCTTTTAATTTTCCTTAATAAATAAGAATTGCATTTAAAATTTCTCTTTTTATTTTCATACGACAGATTTGCATCAGATGGATTTTCCTTCTTTTTGACGGATATATCCGTCGAAAATTTGCATTTTTCTTGTAATGTATATACAACTTTTATGGTCCATGTTTTCTTTGTACATATTTTTTTGTAAATATTTTCTTATTTTTTACCTTTTATTTTTTGGTCAAAAAGTTTAGAAATTTAGTTCCTTGTAATTTTCTTTTTGGTGTGTATTTAGTATTTTTGGGGGTATAACTATTATTTGAAAAATGTGCTTATTGGGTTTGTTTGGGCCATGAGAGAGTGGAGAAATTTCTCCAAGTGAGTGGACATCCACTCCTAAAAGGATTCTCTCTCATTAGTTCAAACATAATTCATCAAGTCACATGTTCTCCACACTAATCACACTTTATGCACGGTTGTTTTCACATCCCTTTTTTACTAACACACTCCTCATCCCACCTTTTTACACCATATCATATGGAAAACTCTCATTTTTTCTTCTAGATCTAGGATGTTGACATTTTTAAGAGGAAAATTTCAAATTTGAATTTTAAATTTGAACTAGAGTTAGTTAGCATGACTACAAGTTAACCTGCCTAGGGAAGGCAATAGGCAGGGTCTTATAATATCCATCTTCATATCCGTGTTTAAAAATAATACTTGTACCCAACCTTATACTCGTGCAAATAGAAATTTTAACCCCCATCTTGGTATTTGTTTGGTACCTATATATATACTCATACTCGCACCCGTGACTCGCATTTTACTTATACATAAAATAAATAAATTAATAAAGAAATAACATTTCACACAAACAAAATAAATTAATAAAGAAATAACATTTCACACAAACAAACATAATATTAATTTGTCAAGTCTTTAACATTACAAAAATCTAACATAACAATTTTATAAATAAAGATTACAAAACATTCAATTCTTGTAAATAAACTTTTAAAAAAATAAACATAATAAAAGTTGTAATTAAACTTCCAATATTAGGATTATGTGTTAACAATATTCTTTAAGATCTATGAAAAAAATTGTACAAAAATTAGTTAGATTAAAATTATATATTAAATTATATTCTATAAATCTCAAAAAATAAATATGTAGATATTTAATCTTATCATCAAAATCAACTTCTTCATTGTGACACCCTCTACCCCACATACATAATACACAATAAATATAAAGTACATTCCTGAGTAAATAAAACTTTCTTAAAAATAAGGTTTCAAAACACATAGATAGAGAGTTCACATTCATATTTCGCAAATCGTAGTCCAATGCGGAAATGATAACAAAATAAAACATCAATCTTTCCAAAACACAATAACAGTAATGAAACTCCAATGCTAAACCTAGCTAAGCCCTGTGTCACACATCCTATCAGAGCATGCCCAACTGAAACTTAAGCTTCATCACTAACATCCTCATGCTGATGATGTAACACCCCAGTTTTCATACCATTTATTGAGGGTAATTGAGTAATTTTCATAAATTTACAGGGGTGGTTTAATAGCCCAGAACGGGCCGTTCCAGTCTACTAAAACAAGGGTAATTTAGTAGCCTAGAACGGGTCATTCCAAAATTGGAACGGGCCATTCCAAACTATTAAAAAGGCTTGTAATCCTAGTTTAAAACGGGGCGTTCCAAATATTGTCGTTATGGGTTAAATGCAACCCTAGAACGGGCCGTTCTAGTTTGAGAACAGGTCATTCTGGATGTGAATTTTACACATAACGTAAGAGTCTGGAACGGGCCGTTCTGGCGACGCCTGATGCCTATAAATAGAGAGATTTGGCACTCCCAAAAAAGCACACTTTCAGTTCTGACTTCTTTCAGTTTTGACTTCTTTTCTTCTTTACTCTCTTCTCTTCTTCTGCACTCTCTGAAGACCGAGGGGAACGCAACAGAGGAGACCAACCAGATCCTGCTTAGTTTCAGCTACTATTTATCAAGGTACGAGGGAAAAAGGGAATTATTTGTATGTAGAGTTACATGAGGGAATTGGGTAGAGGAAGAATTCCTTAGGATTATAGGTAATTTTATAATTATTTATGTTTGAAGAATTAATGATCCCATTAGATTTTACATATATTGAGGATTAGAAATATATATTTAATTTGTGAAAATGATGATTTGGGGGAGAGAATGAAATTGTAGAAAAGTGTCTGTATGTTAGGTTTTAGAAAAATTGGAAGTTTTACTATTTGATTTAATATTATATTAAATTGGTGAATTAATTGTTTTATATTATTGTTATAGATGAGCATTCATGGTGAATTTCTTAATGGGTATGTGAATCATTGCATTGTGTGACCTTATCAATATGTAATATGGAATTTGAGTTATGAAATGAGATGTGTGGAATGTGAATGAGATGTGATTGTGGATTCTCGTACTGATGACCAGGAGTGAGCACGACCCTAGGCAGCTAAAAAGGGTAGCGTGACCTTGGCATAGTGTTATGTCAGGGGGGAGCACAATCCTAGGCTGGAAAAGTGTAGCTTGACCAGCTCATTCAAGAGGTATTTCAGTTAATCTCTTTCTCCCTTTTTTATTTATTTCTTCTCTATAATAAATAGTTATAATAAAAATAATCATGTAGTTATTTTAGGATTAGTTGTATAATTTAATTTTTAAGCATGTAAATAATTACTAATAAAAGGG